TGGTTCAAAAAGCAGTTTTACTTCATTTTGTTTTGAACAAAAAAGTTAATAATTAACGTAACGGTTTGCTAGGACTCCCTGTTATAGCTTTGATTAAATGTTGATACTTTAAGGTGGCCAAACACAGTTTTCACGCACGCTTTTGCTGATGCAATTCAGCGTGTGCACAAGTATCGCAAAAAACAAACATGCCATCAACAGAGCGATTATTTTGTTTACTCAACACCCGCCGTATCTGTGCTATTTTTCTCTATAATTGAACGCAGCGTATTGATGGCTTTAGTCTTTTATTACAAAGATATGTTAGAAAAGGTAACAATGCAAAGAACCCAGCAATTCTCAGCTTTTCCTTTCTTACCAAAAGAACCCAGTTAAATGCAGCGCATGCGCAGTTGCTCGAAAAATTGAGACCGATTGCTTTTGCAGAAAATTGCGGATTTCTGACGATCCAGTCGTTAGAATTTCAAGAAATTTGGCAAAAAAATAGTTCAGAAACCACGTGAATGATCTATCGCAAAAAATCTGAATTNGTTATGACACTAAAGCTGCCCCCGCTTTCTTTTATTTCTACTGACTGAAAACAATATTGAACATTATTGTATGAACTAAAACTTCTATAACTTTTTTTGTAAACTTTATCACTCATAATGTTCCTATAACTTAGGCATCTTATCATGGTTATTATCCAAACATTATCCACTTTCTATTTAACTCATTCCATTCCAGACAGCCATGAGTTTTCGTTTGAAAGGAGACAAAAAGTACTTTCTGAAAAAAAAGAAAGGTTTCCTTCATGGGAACTAATATTTCTGTTACAGAAATTTCACTCAGTAGAACTAAAGAAAAAAAGGTTAAAATATTATAGAGAAACAAAATATTATGTCAAACCACTCTGCTGTTTGAATTTGATGATGAAACAAACCATTTTTCTTGTTATAAGAGCAAACATATCAGAACAAAAATAAAGCAGAACAGCAGTTGAGAACATTATCTGGAACTTGCTGTCACAATTTTTTTCTGAGATGGGTAGGAGGAGGAGGCACCTGGCAAAGAAAAGGATTTTCTCTGTAATTCCCCTCTTCCCTTACCCTCTTGCTAAGAAAGGCCTGATACTCAGGTTATTAACAGAGGTATCGCATTACTATCACTGCTCTAATCTTTAAATGCAAATTACAGTCACGTTCTTTGTCCTCAACAAAAACGCTGCAAAACATTTACATTTACCTTTGGATTCCTGCCAAGTCACCCAGCCGTGACATAAGCTCTACGCCACGTAAGATAACTCAACACAAATGAGTGATCTGAATAAACGACATGCCAAAGGTAGAACTAGCAATCGGAAGTATTTTAGCCACAATTGAACACGAACAAAGCGACACTCACCTCGAATATCAAGATTTACTGGTACTTCAAAATTACTTACCATACCTTCTGAGTTGTTTTTATCCCAAAATCCATCTTCAGGATCTTTGAAATCATTTTCAATTTGTTCTATATCAGAATCTCTGCCATTTCGAAGAGAATTTATTTGATTGCGGTAGATTGCGGTGTGTTTATTCGACCCCCAGCAAACTTTCGGCAATCCTAAATACGTACTTTTCGGCAATCCTTTCTGAGCCATGTTCTCAAAAATCGAGATTTTTTCTGCTACAGCAAAAAATTCCTCCCTATACACGGGGACTTCCAGGGTGCCCTCTCAGGTTTTGGCCGTCTGGGTCAAATACAGATTTAAAACTCAAGAACTTCATAACGGCAGTAAACTATGATACAATAACTGCCTCATTCCAAAGAGTTCCTCCTTGACTGGAGGGAGGCAGGCTCATCAGAGTGGGTGCCCATGGTGTTGTGGGCCTATATATAGCACTCAACTATCAGAAGTCAATGCAAACTTACCATTAACCCGTATAGCAAGCACTTCCATAGTGAACTGCGAACAAGTTAAGTCTGCTCATGCAAAACTAGGGGCGAGAGCAAAAAAAGATGGAGTCGGAGGTAGCTTTGTCAATATTTTTTGCTTTAAGCCCACGTTTTCACATTGCCAGAATGCTGAGTGTTTGTGCAAGAATGCTTGCTACTAACGCTTGCTACCCAAGTGTTAGTAGCAAGCACAAGCGGAAGTAGCAAACGCAACCTGAAGCAAGCACTTTTTCTTTTGCGTGCGTAAGTAGAGAGGCTGTGAACAGTCTAATTTTGAGAAAGAAGCTCTATTTCTTATATACGTACAGCACAACTTCCTTGTCATAGACAGTTTAAGTGTTCAGAAATGCCACGCGATTCTAAATAATGTTTTGGTCTTGTAGTAGACGTATTCTCTTAGCTTTGGCATACTATAATTATATTAATTCTTGATCTCCACGCACAGGCATGGTTGTTCAAAAACCTAGATACCCGGGAGTTAACCCATGAACTAGTACTTGACTACAATGAACGTTTTATTTTTTAAATTTGTATCTATTATAAACACACTTTTAAAAAACTGGCCGTCGAATATCGAATAAGCTGCTTTTTAACATAACTTAGCCAACAGTTCTAAGAAATGCAAAACTCTGCTGTCACTCAGTACCTATCAACAATGTCACGCAACCTGTGGCAAACTTTCGTCATGTTATGTGCTTCCATGCTGAGGCCAAGTGAACAATTCAATGTAGAGGCCTAATGAGTTCTGAAATCCCATGGTATTTCTACACAGAGGTCAAGCATTCTCAACTGCTAAAAAAAGGTTCTCATTAGGTTTGAATGGAAATTATGGTGGAAAAACAGAAATAATTTCTGACTGCCAGGTAAAAAGTTCTTTGAAAAACCATGCCTGTGAGTCACACAAAGCTCAGACAATTTGGGATGTGCAAACCCAAAAACATTGTATAAAATCGCTTGGTGTTTCTGACCAAAGATCAAAATACTCAAATACTCTGGGGAAGTTTCAATTGATTCTAACAATCATTTTTTTCTGGAATTGATTATCGATAAATTTTGGACCACAGGAATTTTTGAACAACCACGCCCGTGACTGTGACCATGAGTCAAGATATTTATAGCATGCTGAGGCTAAGAGAATTCGTCCACTGCAAAACCAAAACATTATTTAGAATCACTTGGCATTTCTGATCATATATTGAGTATTCTCAGAGCCGGTTTCAATTGCGATTTTTGAAGATATTATTCTATAAGAGTCAGAGCATGAACATTTTCTGTGTCAAAGCTTCATGATTTTATGGTATGCCCAAGCTCGTAAAAAGCTAGAATAATAGTTGGAATCACTTGACATCACTAAACAAAGATCTGCTGTACAGTTGCAAGAAGAATTAAATGAGTTATTCTGTGGAATTTTTACATTAATTTCAGACTGCCAGGTAGGCTAGTTTTTTTTAAACACTTCCCGGCTGCCAGGTATCTAGACACAATGTTATTAATATTCATTTTGCTTGAAGTTTTCAGAACTTTACTCACAAAGTGCACTCTTGGTTCAATTTGACCTCCTTTGACTCTGTCAACCCATTGGTTGTAATTGACAATGAAAGAGCGCTTTCTCTTAAATAAACAACACACACTTGAGTCGATTCCAGAAAACAACTCAGGCCTTGATAAGCTTATCAATTATGCGATTCAAACATAAGAAATCCAAGTTTCATACACTTTAAATAACCAAAATTTCAGGCAAATAAACCAAAGTAAACGATTAATCCCGTGCCAGAAAGACTAAACACTGAAAAACAACCTGGAATAACCTTGTTCAACGCTTTGAAACCTTGCGAATTCCCAAACGAAAATAGTGTTCTGATTGGCTCATCCCAAATATCAACAACATCCGCCTACATCTTAATATGGCCAAAAAAATCTCACAGCACCAGAAATGTTCACTTAAGCAAAATCGAGCTGAAAAAATCTGAGAATTTTTCTGGGTAACCAGCTGCATACACCTTCACACTACATATGGCGCTATAAAGCTGCCGCCTCGTCAGACTCAGATTTTCGCTCATCTGACTCGTTGGCGATAAGAACCCTCCCAGCATCCTTTGCAGCTGAAAAATTGAGGAAAGTGAAGATGTCATAGGTGGTTCAGCTACATCGGTTCAACACCCAATCAGGAATATCTCTAGAAATATTACAGCAGTGTTCTTTAAACTTGGCACCAGAAATGTAAATCACAAAAGGTTACAAATGCGCATATTTGGTTTTTCACGGAAAGACACTTGACCCAAGAGTGTTGCCATGGCAACAACACAGAAGGTGTCATTCTGTTTCTTTTGTGATGTACATTTCTGGTACCAAGTTGGAATAACTTTGCTCCAATATCTCTGGAGATATTCTTGATTCAGTGTTTTACTGTTTAAGTAGAACTATTTATAACATCATTACTTTCCTCATTTCCATAATACAAAAACATAAATATCTCAAAACGAAAAAAGATATTCCAAAAAGGAAAACGCCATTCTTTTTTACTATAAAAAGCCTTTCAAATAAGCAGCAATCATTTGTTACTTCACAAGCTCTTTAACAGCAACAATAACAGTAACAGTAACAATAACGATAATAATAATAGTAATAATAATAATAGCAATCTAAACATATTTAACCAGGGTAAACCCATCAGCAAATGCTGTCATTGAGAAATTTCAGGAAATGCTGTTATTGAGAAATTTTCGTCTCTTGTACTACCCAGGAATGCAAAATGTTACAACACCTTGCTATCCAATTTCTGCTCTACATGCATTATTTGTCAAGTGCATGTTGCTTATGGGAGGTTAAAAACAAAGAAAATTTCAAACTTCTAGCTCTAAAAGACAAGTGGTCCCGGTCGCTTACACAAGGTGGTCAAGAGGTTCCAAATATAGTGATTTGACTTGGAAAACTTAAGGTATTTTGGAAAACTGGTTGCAGATGAGGTGGTTGTTTACGAGAGTTGGTCACAACAGCAAGTTCGACTGTACCGTATGTGCCTTGTATTTATAACCTTGTATCCAAAGTATGTTGATGGAATAATTCTTAACTAATTTGCTGACCTGCTCTTTCTTTCTACTGAAGAAAGCAACTTTTCTTGCCTTCTTCTCGGCTCTGGCTTTCCGTCTTTCATCTTTTCTGCTTGGTTTTATTCTTGTCTTCTTTCCTGGACACAAAAACAATTAAAATAAAGCAATTTTAATAAGAGATTGGGGTACAATTGACAGGCAAGAATTAATTACACCTACAAGTCAACTATCACACATAGAAATCATGAGAGAACAATCTATTAATTGAAGGGCCGTATGCATATCGGCCTTACTGTAGGTTGAATTTTAGGTTATTTTGCTTTTTTCGCTCTGAATTGCCAGAAAAAAGCTCAAAAAAAGTTTCTACTCCACAACAAAGCAAACAACTTTGTCTCACTTCAAGTTTTGGATGCAATAATTTAAATTTGTCTTCACTTCAAAAAACGGCAAAATGTTGATTTCAGGTCAACAGGTGATCTTAAAGACACTTTTTCATTTAAGGTGGCTCCCTATAGTTTTACAATCGCACACGCGCTGAGGACAAAAGCTCAAGTAATCTGCACATGCTCAAAGGAAAACATCAGTGTTTTTCAATATTTTATTACGTCAACATGAGCACAACAAGCAAAACTGACCGTAAATTTCCTTCGGTGAAATTCCGTAAAACTTGGCAGATTGGTAGTAAATGTTTTACTTTAGACGGTACTCATTTTTCAGGAAAATCTATAAGACCAGTTTTCTCGCAGCAGTAAAAGACGTAAATTTGCAAAAATCAAAAAACCTGCCTTTACAAACCCTACTTTTTTTGTCTTTAAAATCCATATCCCACAGGAAGCGATATGCTGTGAAAATTTGGGAAGATTTCACCAAAGGAAATTCAAGAAAATTGCAGGTAAAGCCATAAAAAAGTAAAAAACATATTTGTTCAGGCATTTATAATTCAAGACTAAACCAATAATTTCAACAGAGATAATAGTAAAAATCTATTTAATCATTGCTTATTACATGTAATTAGTTTGAGAGAACTGGGTGTAAAAACGAATGCAAAAACGGCATTCAGAACATAACACTTGCGCACGCAACGCCGTAAATGATTACCCTATGGAGCCACCTTAAGAAACAGTTAAATGCTCATTTCACGAGAATGCATGACCCCAGAGATGTTCGTTTCACTTAAAAAACAGTTTAATGTTGATTTCACGTCAACACAAAAGCTCAAAGATGTTGATTTCGCTTTAAAACACTAACATCTTGTTGATTTCAGGTCAACGGACCACCTCAAAGACACTTTTTGTGACTACTGCGCTTGCACAGCAGTCACTACTACCATCGTCTGAGTTTTCCAAAAGTAAGTAAGTAACAACAGAATATACTTCAGAGCCAATCAGCACAACAAATATCCATCTTGCAGTCTTTTGTACGGGAAGGTATGTCTTTATTGGGTGGGGGTGGGTCGGGGTATTTCAGAAATTTTTTGCAAAAAAAGTTGTGGCTCTTCCACTTCCCAGAATGGCTTAATGCATGACCCTTCACAAATACCTACACAAAAACATCTGACCCTACCCCCACCTCCTCCAAGACAAAAATAACAGGAAGTGAAAATAACTAACCAGAAGTGTTACCCACATAACTGCGTCTGCACACAAAGCAGTTAATTGCGTGGTGTGTGATTGCATGGTGAAAACTTGAAAATGGGCAAGGATGTGCGAGGAATAGAAAGAGGGAAATGAACTTGTGGTGAATGCGAGGATTTCATGAGGTCAGATGGAACAACTTGTGGCTATTGTGGCTGTTTGCTGACTCGCCATTCTAAAAAGGATGCCCACTACTCCTCTGACTCTGTTGGTGGCACATCGGGTGCGGGAACAAGTGAAAGTGCAAGTCCAGAGAAGTGGAAAGGTGAAGACCTGGGGTGATTCCCGAACCCAAAGGGCAAATATACTGAATTCTCAAATAGTATTCTGCCAATATTCTACCTATCCTTTTGGACCACTTATCCCTACAAGAAAAGCTTTCACCGCTGTTTCGTGACTGAAAGAAAGCACCATTGGCAGCTTGCTGTACAATTCAATGGAGTGTCAACAACATCCGCTACCCCCGCTAAGAAATGTGCAGCAACAAGTGACCTCATCACTATCCGAGGTTGAAACAGACTTGCAAAGTGATGTAGTAGATCAAGTTGTCGGTTCGAGCTCAAGTAGCTTAAGTAACGAATCGTCACCGGAGACTGATTTTATACCAGAACCCCGCACGGAAACATTACCGCCATCAAAATATGGACGAAAGCAGGCACGGGTTGAGAGAGACAATTATGTTAGTTGGAACAAGATAGTTTTTTTGATATAATATTTCAACGCCTGTAAATAATTTAAATTAATCTTGACTGGTAGCTTTGCTTGTATATACAAGTTTTAGGTTTCTATACACTTTGCGTGTTTGTTAACAAATAAGAATCAACTAAGCGACATTAAGAGTAACTTTTCCTTGCCAAAAATCTGTGACCCTCCCCTAGTTGCAAATAAAACAGGTTTGACCCTCCCCAATAAAAAATGTACCTTCCCTAAACACTTTGTATCAACAACAATCTGCCAATAGTCATCAATGGCAAACGAAGATCTCTGCTGCCTTCTTCGATCTCATCTCTTACCTTGGAAGTACAGTATTCTTTGAATTGAGGTGAGTCTTTCATATTTTGTTTCCAACCGATCAGATGAAAGGTTGCGTGAGGATTTAGGACGAGATAAACTGCGAATTTCTATGGTACTGAGTAGCAATTTGTCAATGCGTATTGTAAATATACAACCCTTGCCGATATTCCATAATTTTGGAAGGAGCTTTAGCCTCCCTCGTATGAGAAAAACTGAGCCTCTTCAGAGGAAATATTGAGCTCCGATGTTTCATAATTGAGCCTCTCGAGCAACCATGTTGTAATAATCTTGTAGTGATTGAAAAACCATCAATGTGGAAGCTGTGTGTACTTGTGAATGACACAAAACAACTATTTCAGATAACTGCAATATGTTAGATTTAAATGATCGTACTTAAAATGAGTCATCAACTACTGTGAACACACTGACTGTCCAAAAGCTTTGTAAACAATTGAAAATCAATCGACTTTCAAATTCTAGAGACAGGGAACCATCCAGAATTCCTGGCGCTGAATGCTTTTTTCACAATGTATGGTGGTCCTACATTTCATTGGAATATTAGAGCTCTAGGCATTTGTTCAATATCTTATGGAACATCTCACGAGGTTTATTGAAAGCAAATTGAGAATTCCAGAATATAATGTCCAACAAATTTGTCACAACAAGGTACATGTACATGAACAGTGTGACAATCTCATTATTCAAGCTCTGAGACATACATGTAATCCAATCCACTTATTGCAGAAATCAATGTTATTGAGGTCACATAGATAAATTACACTACAACAGTACCATTCAACCTTGTACCAAAGTCAGCTGTCAGTAAACAGTTCTGATGATGTTTCAGGGCTCAAAATAATTTTCAGACTGTGGCTGGTCATGTTGACCAGCCAAAGTAATTTGAGCTCAGTCACATCTCATTTCGGACCAATCGAGATATTTTTTAAAAAATTGAGTAATATTGGCCTAAGTAAACCCACAAAAATAATGTGTTTGTTCCAGACTATGCTAGACCGTTTAAAAATTGGCTTAATACAACGAAAATCTTAAAACTTAACCAAAGATAGCCTTGGCAGGGCTCAGCACCTCAATGAACCAGGTGATCTGGTGACGTCATTGC